AACCAAAGATATAAAAAATTCATTGTATACACTTTATTTGTAGCCATTGGAATTCTAAAACTATTATTTCATTTTAACAAAAAGACTGTGCGTTTGAAAGAGCCTTTTTCTTTTGCATTCAAATAAAGAGGCGGGAAATTAGTACACCCGAAATTCTAAAATCCGAAAACGAAAGTTTTTCAAGCGCTGACATGATTTGCTACAAATGGAAAATTTCAGAAAGCACTAGGAAGCCTCCTAGATGATATGCAGCTGTTGTAAGTGACTTCATCTGCCCTGGGTGGGGGTTACCCAGCCCAGGTACGTAGCCTACGTTGGCGCCAGTTTTTGTTAACAATCGTCATAGCAACACCCTTCGTCCGTGGATTACTTACCAAATGTTTCGTGCTCAGTAAAGATATTCTAAACGTCAAAAAATCCTGCATTTATATATTTTTTGTAAGTAGTGATCATGTTTTTTGTGCACATGTTTTTTTGTGCATTATTTTTACGTGAAATCTTTCACCACTTAAAAATCTATAACGTCATTACCTGTATCTGCATGTACACAGAATTTATTCAATTTTATATAAAACTATTTTCTAGATATGTGCTATTTATATGAAACTACCTCCAATGTATATGATTAAACTTTGTTATGAAATGTAAAGGGATATCGTGTTTATGCTTGGCTACCCATTTTATAGATGCTATATACAAATTAAATTGTCTGTATTCCAAAATCCGAAAAAAAAATTCTGAAAACTTCCGGTCCCAAGAATTTGGGATAAAGGATTCTCAACCTGCATTTATCTTCACGTTACAAGCTGAAATGTCAACATTAAGAGAACAATCTGAATTAGTCTATTGGCATTAGTTGGTCCATATGACTATACTCACGTGATCGCGCGTTCCCCAACTTTGATCGACGATATTGGCAACAGCATAGAACGGTAGTAGAATGTACATTGCTGGAAAGGACAGGAGGAAAGTGAGCCCATAAACCAGGGTAGGTAACTCTTTTGGATGAATAAATGCTGAATACAACATTCCGGCCATCAAAACCAATAATAGATAATATTGTTTGAATTCAAGATATCCATCTTGTAAATCTGGGACAAAGAGATACGTGAGATTATTAACATTGATAAAAGGAATACAAGTAGAGGGTGCCTAGTAAAAAAGCAGTAAATTCAGAAAGACGAGAGACAACCGTTGAAAATTGGTGACGACTGATGTGACTGAAAAATTCAGAAAAAAATTTCTGCACTTTTCGTCAATCCCCACATCGGATGTTCTTTGAAAAGTACGATAACTTGCCGCTCAAAATCAGTGAGTTGTTTAGCCATACGAGAAGGCCAGAAAGAAAGACAAATGTTGTCTATAAATAACACTTAAATGACGAATCACAAGATCGAGCGGCAATTAATCAATCAAAAATGAACCAACCAGAGTTAAGTAATTACACGAGAGTCGAATGGTTATTCAAGGTCATGAATACTCAAGAAATTTAAATTTATTCAAGGTTAATCATTGCTGAACGATAAAATAGTGATAGTAAATTTTCCGCTTTTTTACTCGGCACTCTGTAATTTCTATCTTAGAAATCGTAAGCATTAATCAAGATTTTAAGGTTATATGAAAACGAACTTCAGAATCGGTAACTCTTCCCGTCCAACAAACGTAGTGGGAAAGAAGAAGACAAAAATTATGAAACAGGAAAGAACTGTTGGTTACTCCCCTTGGCTTCGCTAAAAAAAAAAACTTCCGTTAGGCGCTACTGTGTAAGTCTATAAAAAGACAAACATATCCTTCTTTTTCTCTTTTCTTTTTCTTGCTTCCAAATGTAGTAGCACGTGGTTAAGTTGTCCGCCGATGGGACGCGTTCATTTCATTGGTCCACTGACAACGGCACTCTCACATACACGTATATCAGGCATGCTTGTATCTCACACACAAACAAGTGCACTTTTAATAGCTAAGTTTTTTTAATGCATTTTTCCTTTACTTTCAATTGTGTAGACATTTAATACAAACTTTAATAGTTATTTGTTTAGTATTCTATCTTTTTTTTCTTATTTTTACTCGAGCTCACATGTGTCCACTAAATATTGGTTGCAGGAGAAATGTTCCAGGAACCGTTAAATATTTACAAAAAAAATCTCCACCTCTTAAAAAAAAAAAAAAAAAAAAATAGATAAATAAAAAAAAAATAAATAAAAAACGGAGATACCTAACAAATTGTAATGAGTGCGAAATAATTGCAGAAATTTACCGGTGAGCTGAAAAGAAGTAGGAAAACAATTCGCGAGTTTATGCGAAGCTGTTTTTGGACCAATGTATACCTTGCCTTCATAGAAATCAGTAGGTCAGCTGAGAAGAAAAAGAAAAAGAAAAGTAGTGGGCCTATACGAAATTCTTTTTATATATATATATAAATTGAGGAGAAAAACTAAAATTAATGAGAGAAGAGTGTCTGAAGTCAAGTGAAAGGTTTTCTTTGTTTTCTGTTTATCGCGACCTGTGTTCTTGCCAGTATAAAATTATTCGCCAATTATATTATCGGCCTTCAAGCAAGCACGTGGCACATCGAAGAATTTTCTCTCAACAAACCAAGAGAGCTAAGTATTTCGGGCTATCTTTCTTCATCTACTTTTGAACGCATACAACCGGATATCCTCTCTGCGTGCAACGAATTCTCTTTCTTTATATATATATTTTTATACGTTAACTATCTCACAGATGAAGCACAAAAGAAAATTTGTGCAAGCCTATCTTGTAAAATATTGTATACTGTTATATTATTTTAAAATGTTTTGTAATAAATGTTCGTTCCTTTTAAATTCACGCAATACTTTGTATGCGCCTTTTTTAATGTTCGAGATAAATCTCCCATTCCCTCCCAGAGGAAAACATCTTATTGTTGTCTTGTGAAAATGAATAAATATGCAGTTGATGTCGATATATATGAAAACGAAAGATTGTATTTCGCAAGTAAATATTCGACCAGGGGAAGATATCATTGGTTTGTAAGCAATTTTTGTAATCATATTTCTCAATATCGCCAAAGAGGCTAGCGGCTTGGATTGAGGAATCAGTAGAGCCGAGTTCGCTTTCCTGTCGAATCCATTACATTCACTTACATGCTAATACCCTATATATATATATATATATATATATATATATATATATATATATATATATATATATATATATGTATGTATGTATATAAATAAAAAGAAAGAACAGTAAGAAAGAAAATAAGGAAAATCTACCCCATTTGTTCAATTTGATAGAATATTCTGAACCATGGAAACGTGATTTTAGCTGTGTATTTAAAAGTAAATTTTAAAAGAATATCCAAAATTCACTTGAAGAAAATGGAACTAATGCTTTTAATTTATTTGCAAAAAATAAAAAGGGTTTTCTTCTATTTTTGAAACATTTGAACTGTGAGAAAATAACCATATTTTAAATCAATTAATTTATAATATAATGATATATATATATATATATATAAATATATATATATATACACACACATTTTAAAGGATATAGATGCGAATAAAAGTGATATATATAGTATTAATTAAAGAATATCAAGCTGAATTTAAAATCCCATAGGAAATTCTAAAAGACAGCTCTCAATGAAGACAAACAAAAAAATAACTGTCATTTTGGCATATGACCTATATAGAAATTATATATATATATATATATATATATATATATATATATATATATATATATATATATATATATATATATGTGTGTGTGTGTGTGTGTGTTTATTTATTCATTTATTTCTAATAAAATAATGGAAGTATTTTTAATCTGTTATTTTTTATTACCTATTAAACGTTATTATAGTGGATACTTTGTATTTAAAATAGACGCCCAAATATTTATTAATTATTTATTATTAAAGTGTGTATTACCTGTAACGGTCCGCGTAATTGAGAAAGTTTATTAAACGAAATTAAGCAGATACAAGGATTTTGAAGAAATAATCTGGTGCTTTCCTTTAAGAAAGGCGGGTAAAATTTGTCTTGAGGTTCTCTGTGACTGAATGGTAAAGAACACTAGCTAAAAAAAAACAGTGTTTTCCCTACAAAGTGGACTCAGTTTCGATCACTGTCGGGGAACACTTTTTTCTTTACTAAGATTTTTCGGATGCGTAGGCCGATAGACATAATACAATGGGGCGAACTCTGATAGTCGCTCCTTGTTGTGGCGGAAGAGTTTACGGGGTCCAATGACTCTGAGAACGATGCTGTCTGGAGTTCTAAACACCTGGTAAGGTCACTCTTGGCGGCAAGATCGAAGAGTAAGAGCGACCAAACCCAACCGTTGAACTAGCGGATGACGATTACAACAAATCTCAACGATTGAAACAACGGATGAAGAGAGCTACACATGATGGACATGCAATACAAGGCGCCAGTTATTATAATTTTAGCAGAATTAGCGGTAATCTGTTGCAGTTCCATAACTGGATTCTGCATGTTTCATTTAATATGTGCCGCAGAGGGGTCATGAAAGCAAGTGCGTGGATCACTTGCTGGCAAGTTCAGGCCCATCTTAAACAAATTCACGCCATCGGCACTTTCTTCTGCTTTGATTTTGTTTCGCCTCCAAGTAACTCTTGCAAAGCCAAATGGCGATAGGGAATGAATGACGGGAGCAGGTTTTGGTTAAACTGGAAGCTTCTAGTTCTGAACCTGCACGTTGGCGGCGAATTTAGTCACCGACACCATCATCATAAAGGAAGCGGTCAGCAAAGTAGAAATTAAATTCTTGGATACATGATAAAAGCGATGACGACGACTTCGAACATAGTTACAACATATTCCGTAACTGAAATACGTCACAATATATAAGTATTTTAGGGACAAATAAAATTCTCCCCAACATTTATAACATTATAAAAGCACATGATTGAATAATAAGGACAAAGCTATCTTCTTGGCCATTCGAAATTGTATAATTAATATGAACCACGGCCAATTCTCGATATTTATCTATAAGATAAAAATACAGAGGGTTTTTGTCGACTTACCTGTAATTATATCTTTTACGATAAAATGAATATATCCGGTGCTAACAGACAACATGACAAGGCCAAGGAGAATCGTGACAGCAAAAGTGACCACTGATTGTGTCCGGATTGGTTGCGTGGAACACATTATGGTGTAGAGCACGAGTCCAAAGAAACAGAATGGTGTGGAATAAATGCAGGAGATACCGAAAAGTATGTCCAAAGACGCTGCCAGGACGACCATGGTGGTTCCCGGGGAGAGTACGACAAGCAGGAACATTTGCAGAATGTAGATGATGTAGACAAGAGAGAAAGAATCATTTTGGCGGGCTAAGCGTCGAATATTTTGAAACACGAGCATAAGATTCGAGACTTCGGAAAGAACCCAGCGCTTCCGTTGCTTGAGGAATTCCAAGAAGTTGTCTGGACAAAAAGTTGAATTTTTCGAGTATGGTGTGTACTCTAGTTTCCAGCCGCTGAGCATCATCAAAGTACAGAGCCAGCGATCCTCACCTAAGTATAAAGTACGGTTTAGGGAGCATTGTTAATCATCAAAACTAAAAAAAAAAAGGCTGTCGGGACATTTTTCTGCAAATATAGGTAATTTCAAAAGAATAACAATAAAATAATACATTTTAAACTAATGCGTTGATTCCTAACCCTGAGATGCAAGTAAATCGTAAGGAAAAATTGATGGAGACATGACAAGTACCACCTAAACATTTTTTTCGTTTTATTGTAGTTGTATAGTTTTTAACTTCATGTCGTGAATCAGCAATAAATATATTAATTTGACGATAGACTACATCCTGCAACAAGGCATCTGTTTGGAAGATTGGACATTTTAAGGAGCATGGAACCATCTTTTTACTGCTTTTGTTACCAGGTCCACCCTGACCCGGGTGGTAGCACCTGTTAGGGTCCCATCTATGGACAAATAGTAAATCCCCAAACAAAAGCAAAACACTATGAAAGTATGAAAATACATTTTTATAGTAAAAATACCAGCAATACATTTTTATTAAAAGATGACCAACAATACATATTTATAGTAAAATGACCAACTATAAATTTTAAAAGCAAAATGACCAACAAAACACTATATAGCAGAATTACAACAATACATTTTATAGCAAAATGACCAACAATACATTTTTTCTGTCGTTGAAGACATACAATTACTTTCAAAATATATTTAGTTGAAGCCATAAAATTATTCAAATTATTTACATTTCGGTATTGAATGACCCATAGAGACTGATAGGTCTCTAAAGAAAACAACCAACTGAAAGAAATTTTTCCTGGCATTAATCCATATAATATCCTACAATTTCTTAAAGAAATCAAAGTGTATTTCAATACATAACTTCAACAAAACCACAGCATAAAACGCACACATATCACTGCCACTAAACTCAACTTTTGGGCATCTACATGTTTGTGTAGGCATGGGTATCATCTACCATGTATTCAACTGTGAAAGCAGAATAACATATATCATATTTCTATTACTTCAAAGCTCCCCAAAAACTGAAATTTCGGGATTAAATGATCCATGGAGGAGATGATATGCCGTTAAACAATCAATCAATCAATATATTCATTCATCATCATCATCATCATCATCATCATCATCATCAGTCCCATGACCGGGTGTGATCGTATGGTCACTGCGCAGCTGAACATCTGTACAGTTCCCACCATATTTTCTGGGTTGAAAGTGACATGCACAGCATGTCTTGCTTAAGTAGACCTGATGGGACACATCCCTCACCAGGTCAAACTCTAGAGGATGTCCTACAACTTGAAAACTCGCCCTGGTTATGGACATATGTCCGTTGATTCTATCAGAAGACCCCGCCTTCTCTGGGCGTTCATTTCAGACTAGGAATCCCTCCGCCCATCGATACAATGTCATCACCGCACTGACTACATAGGTACTTATGAAATTTAGTTTACCTCATTGCGTTACATAGTCATTGATCCTACAAGAAGGTTCATCCACCCTTTGACATGTTTTGTTTTTAATCCTGCCGGGTGTTAGCAAGCCTCCCCTTTAGTAACACTTGGCGAGGGAATCGGTTTAGTCACCGGTAATCAAACTATACTGCAAGTAATATACTAATTATCATGAAAAAAGTAGTAACAGAAAACACTTTTCAAAATTTAAACCGAATATCTATCAGAAAACGTTGATCTATGAAGAGTTGATATATGTTGACTTCACTATGAAGTGGATTCACCCTAAGAGATAAGTAAGCTTTGTACGCGGTGTCATCTTAGAATATCCAAAGGCTTAAGTGCCTCGAGAGTTAACCTAGAAGATAATCTCAAAGCCACAAAGTGCAGAATCGGGCCTCAAAGGATGTCATTGGGGGTACCAACATAAACAGGAAGTGAACTGAATTGACCATAGGACCTACACACGAAAAAATAACAGGATAACAGTATGAAAAATTTAGTTTCGTATTCTTATCAGATACTTACAACGATAACATTACACCAGTAATATCTCGTGTTGGATAAATTTACATCTTTCTGCCATTATCTTCTGAACTTTAGTGTTCCATACAGGCAGAAAATGCTATTTACATATTATTTTATGACAAATTAAAGAACAGACCAAACATACCATGGTCTTTAATGAAGACATCAAAAGGAGACTGAATTGGTTTGTGGTATGACTCCATTACGTCTTTGACGGCGTCTGCACGATAAAGACTAAAACATCCAGGGCAACACATTACACATCCAATCACATTTTGAGAACTTTTAATCATCCAAAAATCTGAAAAGATAAAAGTAATAAAAATAGAAATTAAACAGGGAACGATAAGGGAATCATAAATCTTATGTAAATGTCAGGATGCGATTCCGCACGCCACTGCACAAGCTGTGATGACATCCCTGGTCTGCTGTATGTAGATACACACCGGGGTTTGCTATGTTTACAGGTTCGCCCCAATATTAGGACTGTGATCGAATTCAACAAAGAATAACGACAAATGCTTTTCAAGAGACTTCTGTGGTCGGGAGGTATAAAAAAGAAATACGATTTTTCACTTAATCGGCAATGTCTTCCTTTGACTTAGAGAAAGCGAACTTCTGGTATCTCATTAAGGACCCCTACACACCCACTGCCTGACCGTCTCACTCACTGACTGGCCGCTTCATACAGCTAGCCGTTTCGCTGGTTGACTCGGCCTTTCACTGACGGTCGGTCCTCTCATTGACCTTGTGTTCTTCTTTTCTTTCTATGTGTCATGTCCTTTCAGGACGTAGGCGATCATGGCTCTCCACCTCCCCCTATCCCTTGCAGCTCTCAACAAGTTCCTTCCCTCGGCTACCTCCCCCAGACCACGTTCTGTCATCCACTTGCTTAAGTCCGCCAGGTATGTCACGCGTTGTTTTCCCTTGTCTCTCTTTCCCTCTATTCAACCCATGAGTATCAGATTCCCCAGGCCCTCCTTCCTCGTTATGTGTTCCACCAACCGAAAATTAGGAATGCCCAGTCAGCTGGTCAGGTAGTTAGTTTCTTCAATGAGATTCTCCTGCAAACAGATATCTACATCAGCAACATTAACTTCAAAAGGAAGTGTCACCAGACGTGGTATATTTAGCTTGAGTTGGTCGCTAAGCCGAGCTTGTATATCATCGAACAAGTTCTTCAAATGCACACACTACAAAGATGCATATAATACAAGGTCATCATCTTAAGTTAAAGGAATTCAGGAATTAAAGTAGGTTATCTCCCTTGACGGTAAATGTTCACTACATTATAACTAATATTTTGGGTCTAGTTATTTCTTGCAATAAATACATCTACGGTTATTTTTTAATTGACAACGAAAGTACGTTAATCCCCAATTTACTATTTCACTTGCATGGATCCCAAAAGTCTTATGTGAACCCCAATGACCATATGGGTTCCGTTTGAGAATCACTGGGCTATACCATACTATATACAGATTGCTTTGTATTTTCTTCTTAACGTGCAAGTACACACCATGGATTTTCGATTTTTACTCATGTTTTATAAAGTCTTTAGTATTTTAATGTTCCAACCTAATAAGTTATAAAGTGTTATAAATTGTAATCCATAAAAAAGAGCATTGAAGCAACTATTTTGATTCTTACCTTTGGCGTATTCAAACTTCTGATACCAAACAACTGGACTGTTACGTTGTCCAATGGGACGCGTTCGTCCACAGGCACCTCCTACCCGTTTATCACGCTTGCACAAGTTGAGCAAATGATAGACGCTGGAGTCGTCGAAGTCCATATCAGCGTCAGTGGCTAGGATATAGGTCTGATCATCGAAATTCAAGTCTTTCGGGGTGTCTGATCGCATAAACCAACTAAAATCGATGTTCCCGGAGTCGCCATTTGTAATACTGAAAATATCGTTTTTCGTTTCACTTTCATTGAACCGAGAAGATGAAGATATCGAAGAGAAAGGAGACGAAGAAAACGAGGAATTGCAAGATGATCGACGCCATGACCGAAAACGCTGACGATGTTGTCCATTTGGCTTGTCTGGGTGCTGAAACGCCCAATCCTTCGATAACGTCTTGCTTGGTTTGGGTCTCAAATCGAAGCTGTAATTATAGGTTGACGACGTCACCGACTCCAAAACATCACGTGATCTATCGTGCAAAGATGGAGCCGAAGATTTTATACTGTGTCTTTCGCGTCCATTTTGGGTGGCCGTCGTCGGTACAATAAGAGGCGCACCTCGGAAATATCCTTTATTGAAATTGCAATGTCTCGATGGAATTTGTTTGCTTTCTCTTTCTCTGCCACCACTGAAATATTGTCGACCGGATAGAGTTAAAAATCCTTTGTTGTGAAGTATGGAGAATTTCGAATTTGCAGAATTATGATGGCCGTCGCATGAGGAAAATTTATCGGTTAAGTCACCTTCATCTTCCTCGTCATCAGTTTTACTATCAGTATCACCGTCGATTATATGAGCTTCATCGCTTGGAATAGAACTTTCTCTGGAAACAGTGTAGGCTTCAGAGTGTGTTGCTGATTTCTCGTCCTCGCCAGAAGATTCTTCGCTGGTTGTTGTCAAAAACGGCTTAGGGATGAGGCTAAAGTTTAGGCACTGTTTGGAGCATCGTCCAGTGAGTACTAGCGACAGAATGTTCGATACAGAAAGAGCAATTTCAGCGTTAGTGGACTGCTGTAAAGAAGATCGTCGACTTGAAGCAGTCTTGCGCCCACTGGCCGAAATTACACAAGAATCGTGAAAACGACGGTAGTTTTTTTCATCCAAGTGATTGCCACAGCGTCGCTCATTCAGTAAAAAACGAAGTCGTTCTAATTCAGAATCCATTACGAGCGTCATATTGTGAGGGTATAAATCATCAAAATTTCTGTCACCTCCATTAAGTGTTGTTTTGTTAATATATCTTTCGCTATTGTTATCAACAATAGATGTGTTTGATTGATCTACCGTCTCTTTTGATTTCCTGAACAAAAAATCTTTCTGGCTTTTTCGTTTGTGTTTTTCTTTCTGGACTAAACCAATGGATGTATTTCGCTGACTCATTATTCTAGACGCCATTTTGTTAATAACTTTGCACCTATAATTCAAAATGTAATTCATATACATCACCTGACTCCACCTTTTTTTTGTCTTAAATTTTTCACTATCTTTAAAGTGCAGAAAGAACGGCAAGCAATATTTGCCTAACGTCCTAGTCATCTGAATACCATATGGGGTCGTAAAAATCTCTAGACTCTCATAATTATTATCTTTGTTGAGAGCAGCAACAAGATCAACCAGCCGGTGGCCATTTTCGTTTAAGAGTCCATTTCGTGATCCATTGTCCAAAAAGACGTGGATCTCAATGTATACGTCATAAAGCTTGTGCGATCCAGCCACTTTTAAAAAGCTCTGAAGTAGTCTCTTCATCTCGTAGTCTGTTTCGTTGTACATAGTTGTGCAAATAAAAACCTTACTCCCCAATCTCATAGCCTGGCGCATGCTGTGATTTTTGTGTAGCGGATAACTCAGTCCGTTCGGATGATAGTTCAGAACAAGCCTTTGATCAAGAAACAGCGTTGTCCAGGTAAAATGCAAGAAGCATTCGTCGAAGGGCTTTAGTAGGACAGCAGTAGGACGTGTGAATGCACGACCACAAATTATAAGGGGTGTGAACCAAACAAAGACTGATAATAGAGTACTAATTAAAACCCAAAGGTCATGAGATTTGCAAAGATCAGCTGCTAGTCCTGGTGTGGATGTGCATTGTAGCGTCGATATTATTATAGCCGTTGGAGTGGACAGAAGTGAACTTACAAAAAGAACCGTAGTTGTCTGACCAACCTGAAATGTATCAATCAAAATATCACTTTTCCATTAGCCAACGAATAAATTGTGTCAAGTTATAAATAACCTAAAAAATTTATTTCGATCAAACAATTCTAAAACATTATAAAATAAAAAGACCACAATCAGGCATGTTTGTAGGCAGTTATTTTATATGAAAATCCCCCCCCACTAAACGGGTTGGAAGTAAATTATTTTTATGAAAATACCAGCACCAAATGTATTTGTTGGAAGTAAATTATTTTAGGTGAAAATACTCTCACCAAACGTGTTTGTAGGAAGTGAATTATTTTAGATGGAAAATACTCCCACCTAATGTGTTTGTTTGAAATATTATTTTAGATGAAAATATTCCCACCAAAGGTTTTTGTCGGAATTAAATTATTTTAGATGCAAATAGCAGTACCAAACATGCAGGAAGAAATTTCATCGTTTAGAATAAAATACGCCCACATAATTAAAAATAGTAGTTAAGTTTTAGTAAGGATGATGGAAATAAATGTTGCAATAACAACAATAACAATTTTTTAAATATTTTTAAATTAAATATTGACTACCTAGAAATGAAGTATGTGTATTCGTAAATTAGGCGTGCCGAGTTCAATTTCCGCTCAATTCTGTTTCGTTCATTTCGCGCTATTGCCCTAAGAAAGGCGTGAATCCATTTTCCTTCAGCTTCGGGTTAAATAGCAGGGTAGACTGGGCTCTCTTGCCTTGAGGCGGCAACCAGTCTAGGAGAAGGAAAACACTAAATTCAAAACTAATCTGACGTCTTCTACGTCAGATTATTTTGCCACAGACACATTACTGTTTCTATGGATACAGTAAATGCCGTGCTTAACCCTATAATGGTTTACGAGATACAGACCTATCATTTGTAAATAACCACAGTTTATCTCATTTTCTGGTAAGATGAAAACTGAAGGCTAATAATTACTTCGAAATAATAATTTCAGTTTTTACAATGTGCTTTGTATTGATGCCGCCTTTCATCTCTACTAATTTTATTCGTTGTCTTAAGATAGTGCGAATAAGCATTAAAATGTTTGCACAAGTGCCATTTTTGATTTCTATTTTCTTATTGAACTTGAATTTTGTTGACATGCGTTTTAAAAAGAAAATATAATTTGAAAACAATGTAAATTGTCATGTATTCAAACTGTGTTTCATCGTATTTCTATTTGACAAATAATCAAAAAAGACTTTTATCTAATGAGTTTTTTCTGTTTATTTCGTCTTATGAATAAAATAAAAACAATTTTGTATATGTGATAAGTTTTACATTTATCTTGTTTTGAAGCGCAAACCCCCGCCTATTTTCCAGCAACCGATTATCCGGTATATATATTTAATCCAGACAAATTACTTACGAGCTAGCATTTGAATTTTACGTCATTAACGGACTAATTCATCAGGTAACTTCAGATAGTGTTGTATTTAAAATAAGTTTCTAATAGTTATTGTTGCTTTAGAGATATCAGAGATTCATCATTATTTTTCAGAGGTGGATTTTCGAAGTATAATATGATTTCGGTCAATCCTGGAAACGGATAATTCGGTACTGATCTGGAAGCAACGGTATTAAGTTGTATTACCAGTACTTCCATATGTACTACCTAATATGTATTACCAGTACTTCCATATGTACAGACATTTACGCCAAAGTTTATTTCACTTTGATATTATTTTCATGTACACATATAAGATGATGTATTGTTCTCCCTTATTATTAATATTATGATTATATTATTAATAATACTAATCAGTTGAACGTTTTACTTCAGATACAAGTATCAAGATTTTAACAATTTTGAGGCATAATTTTTAAGTAGACCTCAAAGCCACCAATGCTACTCGCAGATTTCTGGAAGTAAAAGGAAATGAAGCCCAAACAATTGAAACGCAAGGTAGATGTTAATCTGACTACTAACACTGAAAAACTTTCAGAAGAGCGCAGTATTAAATTGGCAGCCAAATCTCATCATATTGCAGTTGAAATTGGTAGCTGTAAGTTCTATGCTAACAGTTTCTTCTCTCGCACTTCTCGATTGTGAAAAACTTCGGCTTAATTTCTAATTAACTGTGATCTTTAAAAATTTAAATGCAATGCCAATCGTTATCTTTTATTTTCGTAATTCGTGTTCTTTTATTGTCCTTTCTCTTTAATAATGATTTTTTCTCTCAGATTATTTCTCACTCAATTGTGTCATAGTGGCTTTATCGCCTTGGTTGGGGTGAAATGATTAACAAACAATCAAACATATCCACCATTAATATTTTAAATTTTCCTAAAACCATTGAAATTACTAAATTATCTTGCACGCAAACGTATTTTAAGTGTGCAGAGAGACAAAATGGTCCGCACAAGTTACAATCTTAAATAGGATAAAATATGCAAATAATCAACTAAATGAATATATCAAATATAAGCAAATTACCTTGACTGCGATGAGCCCAACAAAAGTCACCATAAAACCAGAAGTGATGATAAGAATGATGGGAAAATATACTTCAAAGCGGGACATTTCCCGCAAACCGACTGCTAAGAAATCAAAAAAGTATGTCGAGCGTAAGTCTTGAAAATGTGTTGTCAGGATAACAGTAAGGCACATTGGAATGGCCAAAATTTTAATGACGGCATAAAATAAAGATGGCTTCCAACGTTCATGAAGAAGCTTGTCTGATGAGGAGACAATGTCAACTTGTACGTGAGGTATCCACAAAACAGAAAGAAATAAAAGGATTGTGGGTAACATGAGGAAATGTAGAAGCTGTACTTTGTAGGGAGACCATGTAAACAAAATAGCAGAGATGATGGCCGGCGACAACAAACCGATGCCTACTATGACGTATTTAATGGCAGTGAAAGGTTCGCACCATTTTTTCTCGTCTGCCGAATGAAGGATAGACGATGGAGCCTCGATCTGAAAATATGTATAGAATCAAGAAAAGTGTTGAAAATTAAGCGTAGCATTGTGACAGAAAGACAAGTTAGTAAAATTCATAAGCATAATTTGAAAACGTGAAAGTTTAAATAAGAATAATTTTAAAACGCGAATCTATATTTCACTGCAAGTCTTTATAACTTGAAATAATTTTATGATTTTCATTTTATGTTTCTGTATTTAGCTTTATTACACAATTAATTAAACAGTATATTTATTTTCGTCTCCCGGCCTGAATACTTGAGAAATATTATTAAAGAAAAAGATGTGCCTTCCGTATCTTTTCTTTAATAAGATTTTCTCTATAAACCATAAATGAAAATATAGCGGCCAAGTTATACGATTTTACATATTTACTTGAGTATATCTGGCAAAGTGATTTTTTAGACAAGGGATCGATCACCATGACAGAACCTCACCATTTTGCTTGGGAGTATTCCCTGGCAATCTACGGCAACTGTCAACTGTTACATTTCTCATTACGTGATTACAATAAATATCTGCTTTTCTAAGTTTAGATGAACCTGTTAGAAATGACATTATTTGAATCATACAAATTGTTTAATTTTGAATATAGATTTCAGGTATTCGCAATAAACATGTGTTCAGTGTGCTATCTAATGTAGAATTGTTTTTTTTTATTTTACCTTTGGGGTGAAGTCATTATTTCACCTACCTTTTTAGCATTCTTCTCTATGGCATATTCCACAATGATTGGAATGGTGTATGCAGCTCCTGGTAGAAGAAGTAGGATGTGGTCCGGTAGAAGAGGAGCTAGTTCAGCGAGGAATACACATAAACTAACCACTTCGAGGAAGTTGGCAAGGATACCCTAAAAGAAGTTTTTATTTATTACAAATATAAATCGGAGTGAATATCAGACATTCGGATTTATCTAAACCCATGCATACACACAGAGTAGCCTATTGAATGGTGAACTAAGTACTTTGTAGATGATTATTTTCAACGTAATCTCCTCCTTTGTCAGTGCACTTAAATCAGTGGGAAATACTGAGGACATAGATCAAACATTAGAGAGTGAACATTTCAAAACCA